TACTACTAATATTTTATTTATGGAGGGTTTCTTGATTTTTACCTGTAAATCTAAAATAGTAAGTCTTTAAATTATATATTTTATTTAAATTAGTTTTATTTAAAATTATTTTATTTAAATTAGTTTTATTTAAAATTATTTAATTTAATTTAATTTAATTTAATTAAATTTAATTTAATTTAATTTAATTTATATTTTATATTTTATATTTTATATTATTTTTTAATTTAATATATTTTATTTTATTTACATTAAGATTTAGATTTAAAAAAAAACAATAATAATTTTAAAAATCATATCTTTAAATAATATTTAATATTTTTAAAATGTTTATAATATTAATAAAGATATATTTTTATAAAGAATTATTTAATTATAAATAAAACATGTCAAAAAAACTAATTTTAATTTTTACCCTAATATTATGTAAATTGACTGTTTCTCACTGTAAATGTAGTCATTATAGTAAAGAAATGCAAGATCATTATTAAAAAATTTACAAAGCTTATGAAATGTCAAATCATGACTAACGCATTCTTTAAACAGGCACCAAGCCTTAACCTATAAGAATAACCACAGATTATTCCATGTTAAATTAAGAAGGTGTAACCGAGAAATAAAAAAAATACATAATAGATATTATGGAATCATCCAAGCTTTATTTCTAAAGACTATTGAAAGTATACCCATTAATAGAAAATAACATTTTTCCTCGAAAATTTTCTTTAAAATGTTTGAATGTATAAATTCCTAATGATGCTTTAATAACAGGAATTCCTAATTCCGATTTACATTTATATGTCATTTGCACTAATGAAGATAATGATAGTATAGCAAATGCCGGTTATTGTGCAATAGGAGATGTATTAACTAGACCTATTTTTGGAAGAGTTAATTTTAACTTAAAAAATATTAATCAATTTGGTGGAGATGCTGCAAGTTTTGAAAATGATTTAGAAACATCTATTCATGAAATTTTACATGTGCTTGGTTTCTCATCAAACGCTGCTAGATTTTGGATAAATCCTGATACTGGAAAATCTTATGGAACTACATTCAAAACTAAATTGTAAAAAACAAATATCTACAGAGGAAAAAAAACCGTAATACTGATTTCCAAAAATTTAGTAGAAGTAACAAGAAAATATTATAATTGTTCCTACAGCTGAAGGAATGTAAATAGAAAATGAAGTAAAATACAAATTTATATATATTTTATTTATTAAAATAAAAAAATATATATAAATATATATATATATATATATTTATATATACAATTACAACTTAATTAGGGTAATGATGATGGTTCTTTTGTTTATCATTTTGAAAAGACTGTTATTTATAATGAAATGATGACATCAGATGAATCATCTGATAGTGTTTTATCTATTTTTACTATTGCTCTTTTGAAAGACACTGGCTTTTATCCTGAAGTAAATGAGAATATGGCTGATAATATATTCTGGGGAAAAGGAAAAGGTTGCGATTTCTTAGAAAACGCTTGCTAAAGTACAGTTCAATACCCTGAATATTCTAAATAAAAAAGTTAAACTTAATGTACATTTGAATACGATGGAATAGGTATTGTCAATTCTCAATTTTATACAGACAATTGTGGTGTAGTATAGCCTTATTCAAATAGATTGTGCACAAATCCTAATAGTGTTACTGATATAACTAAAAAAGAACTAGAAAATGATAAATTATCTAATTATTCAACTCAAAGTAAATGCTTCTAATCTACAGCTTAAAAACTAAATTCTGTAAATAGCGAAAGTTAATTTAGATGTCATTAATACAAATGTTCCTCCGATGCTTCTGAAATATCTGTTATTTTCCCCGATATTGATTTAAAAGTTTTATGTGAAAAAGGAGAATAAAATATATAAAAGGATATCGATCCAAGTGGCTAAAAAGCTAGAGGTAAATTAACATGTCCTTAAGATTACGATAGATTCTGTAATTATACTTCTATATGTCCGAATTTCTGTTCCGAAAAAGGAGTTTGTGTTAACGGTCAATGTATCTGCAAATCCGGATTCGGAGGAGTTGATTGTTCTATAAATTGTTCCGGAGTAGTCGATAATGAAACTTGTATACAAGGCACATGTCCTTAAAGCAAATTTTTAAACCCAGATAATACTTGCAAATCAGATTGTCCTTTAGTTCATTCGGAAGTGCTGACAAATGTGAACCGTGTGATAGCAGTTGTTCTAGATGCACAGACCATCAGCTACTGAGTGTACTAAATGTTAGTTTATGACATTATTGTAAGGAAATTAATGTGTAA